TATATAATATGATATAGATATATATACATATATATCATATATATATATATATATATATAATATATATATATATGTAACTATATATATATATGTATATATAATATAGTATATGTATATCACACACCAACACAACCCTTATCAGTGTCACCTCTCTTATGTCACATGGGATTTAGTAGATTTATCTATGTTAATTAGTACAAAGATAGAGAAATAAATCCTTTTTGGAAGATTAGATCAGAATTGCAGCACAAGTTCCACACAAATACCCTGGCTTCTCCCAACCCTTCTGACCCAGCATAGACCACAGTGTTGCCATGTTTACATGTCTTGTAGATTAACATTTTGTCCCAAAGACAGTGTCTATAGTGCCTTTTAAAACATCATAGTGCCACCATTATACTCTGTTGCTTTAATGGACAGTGGAGTTCCCCTGAACTACCATTCCACTTACTATACAACCATTGGAAAACCAGTACCATGGTGTAATGGTTTACTAAATCCAAAAATTATAAATTTTGTATTCTTTTTTATATGTTAGAAGCCTTCAGATTCAGTTGTATTTAGGTTATATTTCATAATCATGTCATGTATATGCCAAGAACAAAATGAGCACATTGGAATTGTTTCAGAGCATTTAATACACATGGTAAGCAGTGAATGAGTGAATGAAAGTGATTATTCAAGTAGTCTGTGGTCAGCCAATTGTGCAGCATGTTTGTAGTTTTTTTTTTTCATATATAACTATATAAGTACGTCTTGATAAATTAAGTGGACTTAACTGGGTGATGTTTCAAGCTGCAAACCCTGTAGAAGTATCATATCATAATGGATATCTCCCAGTACGGCTAATTTATGAAAAATAAATGGAAGTAAATTTCAAAATACATAATCATTTCAATTCCAGTATCTGAACATGTGCCCTGTCAAATATTAGCAAGACTTGATTTTAAAGGTTTCAGTAATGCTGTTATCATGATTTGCAGGAGGGTGGAGAGAAGTTTCCGACTGATGAAAGTGGGAAAACTTTGTATAGTGATGTGGATTACATTGAGACCTGGCCAGCTATGGAAGAGGCAGTGGAAGCAGGTCTTGTCAGATCCATTGGAGTTTCCAACTTTAGCAAGGATCAAATTGAACGAGTTCTTCAAATTGCTAAAATAGTGCCTGCCAACAATCAGGTCAGATAATTACTGCTTTTTCTATTAGTTTCTTTATTGTTTGGGCATAGGAGAGGGCCAAAATGAAATGTATTGTAAATTCTAGAATTTCTATTAATATGATTGAATTTTATTTGATCATTATCATCTATTACCGTAGCTTTTTAAATGTTGTCATTGTTGTCTCTATACATCAGCACTTAGAAATTATATTAAATGAATAAACTAACAAGACAGTAGTAAGAAATAATTGAAATGGAATGAAAGTTGTGTTGATGTAAAACTTATTCTAGATCTCTAACTTACAGGTTGAGTGTCACCCATACTTAAATCAAAAGAAGCTTATTGATTACTGCAAAAGTAAAGGAATAACTGTCACTGCCTACAGCCCACTAGGATCACCAGACAGGCAAGTTTTGATCTAGCTCTTAAAATCTAAGGCACATCATTTGAGCTAATTAGTAACTTGTTGCCTCAGTAATGTGTTTTTTAACCCATTATCAACGGAAAAATGGTGCGTTCCTTTGGCAATGCTTGGTTATGTGTGTCTACACATAGATGGCTCTGCACGTGCTTAGCCTAAAAGGAGTCAGTTAGTAGATCTTGCGACCTCACTTTTCCTTGAAAAAGCAGGAGAAACGCTTTTTTTTTTACTAATGCTATCAATATTTACATTGTTATTTTTGTTATAAACTATATAATGACTATATTATTCCTGACATCACTAACAGCAATATTAAATATTTTAAAATATCGAAAATCAAGGAAAAGGATAAACAGGTTAGACAGGTAGTTCATGTAATTAGCTCATTGGTGACAATACTTGTGGAGCCATCTATATGTAAAAACAATTACTAAATTTAACACACACAATGGACAATGGCATTTACGTACTTCTCATGCCCGTCAGCTTGGGGTTAAAAACTAGCAAGCAGATTTCCCACCTTGACTTTGCTTTGAATGTGATACAGTGAGTAAAAACTAGGTAATCTTATGTTTATTTGTATATGTATATATGCATGTTTATTTGTATATATATATATATATATATATATATATATATATATATATATATATATATATATATATATATATATTATATATATTATATATTATTCTATATGTATATATACGTATATGTATATATGTTTGTATATATATCTGTATATATGTATACATATAAGTATGTAACTATGAGGTAACTAGCTTCCTTAGACATTACCTATTTACTCATACGTGAGTAAGGATAGCATTTAGCTCCCACTTGCACAATCCTTATAGTGGTTTGTGTAGCTCAGCAGTAGATCATTCATCTTACAGTTACCTGCTTGCAGAGTGAGAGTTCCAGTCCCTATTCCAGAGTTTATTTGTTCATATATATATATATATATATATATATATATATATATATATATATATATATATATATATTATATGTATTTATATGTATATATATACATTTATATAAATTTATATATAAATATATATATATGTGTATATAATATATATATATATATATATATATATGTATATATATATATATATATATATATATATATAATATATATAATATATATATAGATAATATATATATATGTATATATATATAATATATATATATAAATATATAAATATAGATATATATATATATATATATATATATATATATATAATATATATGTATATATGTAATATAAAT